TTTCTATCAACATGAATAATGCTCAAAGGCTTAGGCTGACTAGTGAACATCTGAGCTCTATGCACATGGATCTAGAAAATGAAGAGCAGTATCTGCAATGTGTTCATTTAGCTGCCTCACTGTGACAAAATATCAGTGCAGTGTCTTCATCTTTCCCACAGTCTCTGAGTTCCAATATGAGCAAAAGGCTGTGATGTGTGCTGGGCAGAATACAAATGGAAGGAAATGGAATTCATATGAGCAAATCAAAAATAATGAAAACAAAGTCTTTGTAGATAGGGAGGGAGGGAGGGGTTGAAGGGAGGACAGGGGGATGGGGAGAAAAATAAGAACCAAGATGGATTATGTAAAGGTACAAATTTCCAGCAATGAACGTCACTATATACATTAAATGCACCAATAAAATTGATTTCAAAAATAAATAAAATAAACAGAAAATAGACAAAGATATTGACATGTCTTTCCTCAATGATTAATTCCATAACATCTTAATGTTCTTGATTGTCTCTTAGCTATGAATTAAGTAAGTATTAATTTCCCAAATTACATGAGTAAGGAGCTTCTACCCTCAAAACTTGGCAATATAGATTTAAAACTATGATTCAAAAGATATTAGCATTTTTTTACTGAAATGAACACAAGTGTTTAAAGTGCTCAGAATATTATCCTGTTAAAATAGAAAAGACAGAGGTTGACTGACTCAGTTGGAAAGCAAGTAGACAGCGATTACCATTGACAAACCCAAGAACAGAGATCAACGAATGTGACCAAGACAGAAAGGGAGTTTCCCTCCTTTAATTAACCATATCACAGCTGTGTACTTTCAGTCATTTAGGATGAATTCAACAGGTGCTAACCGAGATTCCAGATTTATATGCTACTCTATAAAAGTGGGAGGACTGAAATCAGAAGATTAGAAGGCCAAACAAAATTGCTCCTGAGTGGCAATGATTCAGCGGTGGGACTTTTTCCTACTTGAAAATGTTATTGAAACACCCACATGCTATTCAACAGTATCTTGCTGACAGTATGGCTCATCAAAGATTGGAATTCAGAAATTAAATATCTGAGTATGTTAAGTAATATAATCTCATTATAAGGTAATCATTAAGGTACTAGTTGCATTCTAGAACTTTATCTGAATCTGTAATTGCTACTAGAATTGTTGACTTTCAGGGCAGACACAGATCATTTATTTCACCTGTTCATGTTTCCAGAGTTCTAAGCATTGTATTTAACACAGCCCATCTCATCAAATGTGCTTACTGGACAAATATGTAAGTGCCTATTTTATGCACCAACCTCTACTGTAGGTGCTAGAGATATTTTAGTAAACAAAATCAGCAGAGTCTCTGCCTTTACAGAGCTCTAATATTATTGGGGAAGGTTAAGTAACAAAAATGAGCAGTTATTACCATGTGTTGGAATGAGATAGTCCTAAGAAGAAGAGACAAAGCAAGGAAGAGGGCTGTGAAATACTTTGAGAAAAGGGCAATTTTAAAAGGGAGGTCATCTAAGTCTTCACTTTGTTCACTTTTGAAAAAAGAGCTTAAAAATGTAGGGACACTAATTATGCAAATGTCCATAGCTAATGGACATCTATTGATGTTGGATGATTATTCCAGGTAAAAAGAACAGCAACTACAGTGAACCTGGTGGGGACACACTTGGCCCAGAAAAGAAGAGGTAACAGAGGAGACCTAGGAAATGGTGGTGTCAGAGATGCAAAAGGGGAAGGTCCTGGGGATCTTGGTGATCTTAGCCTTCAACAGAACAACACAGTCAGGTTTATCTTCCAAGAGTCTTCCTGCTGCTGTATTGAAAACAGACTGAAGTGGGAGAAGGGTGGAAGCTTCAGCAACCGAGAATGCAAGTGATGGAGGTGGGCAGATGTTATTGGGTTCCATGCATACTTTGAAGGCAGACTGATAGGATTAATCACCGGACTGAACATGGAATGTGAGAGAGAGAGCATACGAGGATGAGTCCACAATTTTGGCATGAGCTGCAGTTAACTGAGATGGGAAGACCATAGAGGAGGGATACCCCAACCTATATGAGATGTAACTTGACTGGAAGATCCTCAGGGCTGCTCAGGAAAAATTTTCAGCCTTGAGAGAAGATGAAACTGTCCAAAAAATGACAGTAAGTAGAAAAGAGAAGTCCGAAGTCAAAGACGTCAGACACTCCCACATTAGAAGATCAGTGAGAAGAACCAAAAAGCTTGATGAAGAAAGAGTGACACTGGGGTAGAGAGGAAAACAGAGTAGAAGACAAAGGAGCTCAGGTCTTTATGTTCAAAAGGGCCAGATGCTGCTGTCAGGTCAAGAGAGGTGAGACCATGACAGGGCCAATGGACCCAGCAATACGGAAGTCACTGGGGACTGTGAACAGGGATTTCAGGGGACCAGGAAAAATGAAAACATGAGGGAGTGAAGCTTAACTGTGCAAAGAAGAGAGAAGTTGAGGGAAGAATTCTCTTTCAAGGAGGTTTACTCTCAAGGGAAAAAGACTAATATGTTAAAGCTGGAAAGTGTCAGCAAACTGCAAGATGACTGACAGCTTCATGGATTCAAACAAATTGCCCAATGGAAAAATGATGGGGCAAGAGTCAAGCATTCTATCTCAGAACCCACATTTCAACCCATATTCCGTAACAAAGGGATGAAGGCCTGGCATTCATTTATTGTTACTATTCGTGGGAACCACCACTGGTACAGTCAAGTATAGCCAAAGCAAACTGTGCGGGCTTAAGGAAAACAGGGTGTTAATCTTAATGCAATTTCCTACAGGCTGCACCCTCCTATCTTGAGCTTTTTCCTGTCATTTTAATTGGATTCTAAGAAGAAAAATACAAATGTCTCCCTCTTGTCTACCAAATGCGAGCTTCATGTTGGAGAAAGCTGCAGTGCCAGCTCATTCTTGCAGGGAGACAGAATCACAATCCCTTGAGACTCCGGACATCTATTCACAACGGTTCCTGTGCTTGAACAGACCTCTTTTATAATCCACATTCATGCATTCATTCAACAAACACTGAATGCCTCCTACATCCCAGACTCTTTTCTGGGAGTTAAAAATATAGCAGTGAAAAAAAGAACAATGTCTTAGTTCTCCTGGAGTTTACACTCTGTGGGAAAGAGTTGGACATTTACAACATAAACAATTGGGCTGGGATTTAACTCAGTGGTTTCACCGCCCGCCTTGCAAGTGCAAGGACTGGAGTTCAATCCTTGGTACCAATAAATAATAATAAAATGTAAACAGTAAATATATTGCAGGTCATGATGGATATAATAAAAACTAGCATAGCATAAAATCAGTGAAGGATACTTTGGAGGTCTCTCTGGCTTGCTTACATTGACTGAAACCCAACAAAAAAAAAAGAGGCCAACCTTGGTCTAGGGAAAGGAGTAAAAAGTGCTCTGTTAAGTCTTGAAAGGACTGTTAAAGGAGCCTTAAGTACAAGAGAAGGTAGAACAGTGAGATTATACAGAGCAGGTTCAGCCAAATCCTGTGCAGACGCTAAGTATAATAGGAGACTATCAGAGATGCCTCATTCAGATTCCACTCGCTGCTAGTGGCAGACAGACCGTGGGGGATGAGGATGAATCCAGTTGAGTGGCCTAGCAAGAGGGGATGGCTGCCAGAACACAGGGGAGGACTGCAGTGGAATCTGGAAGGAATGGGATGTGAGTCAAGAAAACTGTGCTGCAGAAAGAGGGATAATCTGATGGAGTCAGAATATTTTGGAAGGAGAGCTGACAGGCTGTGTTGATGCCACGGAAAACAGAATGCAGAGGTCAGTGAGGAACTAGAAGGGAGAAATAAGGGGGTGACCTCCAAGGCCTGAAAACACTGTGTGGGCAGTGATGCTATCCACAGACAGGGCACAGTCTGAAAAAGCAATACAATCGGGATGGGATCCGAGGAAAAAAAATTACAAGAGCTCTGTCTTTTACACATTTTGGTAAAGCTGTTATTAAACAGCTGGCTATGTTGTTGGGGAAAAGTAAGATGTTTACCTTTCAATTCTTCAAGTCCCAGCCCTCATGAAACTATCTTTGATCAAAGTGATCCCACCCTTGTCTGAAATCTTTAGACCACCTCTTCTCCAAGCCTACCGTTAACTGTATTTCAGTCATCTTTGTTCTGTGGCACGTTTTGTGGCCTTTTTAAAAAATATATTCTTCTTATTTTGAATATGAGTTCTGAATTAGAAGCCAAGAGTTCTGCTCCGATTTTTGTCCCTAACAAGCTCGGTTGTCTGTGGACTTCATGAATACTCAAAAGGGGGCATAGATAAAAAAGAGGACCAGAAGAGGATATCCTACGCTAAAACTGTAGCATTTGATGGATTTATTTCACAATTAATTTATTGGAGTCAAGGACTATGAGCTTCTTCAAGGTCAGAGCACAAGGAACATAAAGCTTATAAGCAGGTGGCTGTTTCGATAAACCCTACTGAGGAGCCTGGGAGTAGCTTTGCATCCTAGCATGCTCAAGGCCTCAGTTCCTCCCGGCACCACGAAGAGGTGCTGACTGGTGGATACACACAGACTAGAATATAACCACTGGTGTAATATGCTTTGCTGAGTATCAGTTTCTCTTGTCCTGCTCCACACACCTTAACCTGATTACGCTGGTGCATTTAAATGAAAACCAGCGGGGTCCTGCGATTGTCTCCCCTTCCAGAACCGGTATCTCTCTCGGGTTATCGGACACCTCCCCCGCCCAGCGAACCCCCTCACTCCTCAGTAACCAGGAAACGGCACATTTAAAAGATGAAAGACTGCCTGAAAGAGTCCCTTGAAAAATTCTGAGGTACCAAATCGCCCATGATCTCGGGTGTGAGCGCCCAAGTTGGGGAAAGTCCTTCGCCGCGTCCCTCCAGTCTCTCAGTGGGGACACCGGCGCCCGCCCCCTACCCCCCACCACCCGGCTCCCTCGGACCCTCCCACGGAGTCCAGGCCCCTGGGCCAGGTGTGGGCAGCCCGTACCTGGCGGGTAATACCGCAGCAGGAAGCTCTTCAGCCTCATTTTCTCGCTCTGGGGTTTCAGGCTGAGGGGCTTCGTAGCCATGGAAACCGCCAAACAGCAGCGGGTCGCACGTGCGCATGCGCAGAGACTGCCCGGCGCGGGGAAGGGGTTGAATACAGGCGGGCGGCCTGCAGTGTAGACATGGGGTTCTGAGGTGCAGGGAATCAAGGGGCTGAGAGGGCCACCGTGTCTCCATAGGTGAGTTTGCTTGAAGATCTTAACATTTACTTAAATCGACTCACTTATTTTACTTCACCTTTTAAAGTGTAACTTAACTCTGGTGTGAATAAACCATGAAAGTACATAAGATCCTAATGAGATAATTGACAATGTGAAATAGGAAGAAAAGGGCTAAAGGTGTAGGGAAAGTGGGAAGGTTAGGGGAAAGGTAATACGGGAAAGGAAACAAATAGGAAAAAATGAAAAAACATGGAAATAAAATGTGTGTAAATGGGGAGGGGAGGAGGGGGTGAAGAGAGGGCAGGGACAAGTGGAAAAATGAGAACCAAGACCTGTCATGTAGAGGTACAAGATCCCAGTAATGAATGTAACTGTACTGTATACCTAAAATGTACCAATAAACTCAATGAGGAAAAAAAAAGTGTAATTTAAGAGGAAAATCGTGTCACTGTTATAAATGACAGTTTCATATAATTTTCAAAGAGTGGGTTCAAATATGTGCAATTTTTTTAAAGGCTCTTGCATTACTAGTTTTGCCCCACAAAGACTCTAAACCAAGACTCTGCCTTTATTTATTTTTTATAAGAAGGAAAAAAATATCAGCTATTTGAGAAGTTTACAAAACAGGCTAGCAGCCTACTGAGCCTTTCCACTGGCTGTGCTCAGAAGATTGGAAAGATCATTTCAGTCAGACCATCTTTGCGACTGTCTTGTCTTACCAGCTTTACCATCCCACACTTGGGAAACGGGAAACCATGTGAAATCTAAGATTCCTTCCTACTCACAATGCTTCCAGTCATTAAAGGAAAAGGTTTAAGTAAAGAGCAACAAAGAATTCATCTTAGGGAAAGGAGGAAGTTGTTGGTGAATTTGGTTTACACGTTTTTGTTTTAAGCTCCTGGCTTTTGGCTGGGTGTTGTGGTCCATGCCTATAATCACAGCTGCTAGAGGGCTGAAACAAAAGGATTGCTGGCTCCAGACCAGCCTGGGCAACACAATGAGACCCCATCTCAAAAACAAGTGGCCTTTGGAAAAGTTTTTTTTTTTTTGTACCTGAGCTAAATCCTGGGCCCTGGAAAAGTAATTTAACCATAGAGAAATTGGATATATATATATCATGTAAACCCTGTGATCAAAGTAGCACGTCCATTACTGAGACAAAGTGACAGCCACTACCTACTGCTTAGGGACAGAGAAGAGAACACAGCACTTCTCAAAAGTCCTGCCCAGAATTCATTATAAGGAAACATTTAACTGACCATAAGGAAACAATTAAATCACAATTAACTCTACTGACTTTTGCTGCCCTTAATAAATCTTATCTCTCACAGGCAGAGCAAACCAAACTTAGGACACTGTACAAAATAACTTTCAAAGTCAAGAAAGAAAAGATTGAACACACTGAACAGATAAACCAACTAAATGCACTGGGTGATCTTGTACATTGGACCAGAAATAATTAGTTATAAAAGACATCATTAGGACAATGAATGAAATCTGAATAGGAATAGTGGTTCAGCTCATAGCATGTTGCTTGGCTTTGACTGTTGTACTGTGGTTATGTAAGAGAATGTCCTTTTTATTAGGAAAGACATGCTGATTTCTTTTGAGATAAAGGAGGCATGATATCTAATCAATTCTCAAATAATTTTGAAAAAAATTACCCACATGACATGTATGTGTCTCGATAGATCAATAAAATTTATAAAGCTAATGAACATGAGGTTGAATCTGGGTAAAGGATTCCTTTTGGAGAGTTACACATATGATTCTTGCAACTTCTCCTTTAAGTTTTAAATTCTCTAAAATAAAAAGTGGCCTCTGTGCCTGCCGGCCAAACCAGGCTTCAGAATGTTCCAGGATACAGATGAAGTTGCAGAACTGTTTGGGTCTACTTTATTTTGTTAATAGTGCCTTAGTAGGGGTCAGGGATTTAGCTCAGTGATGCTTCGCCTGCCTTGCAAGTGGAAGGTCCTGAGTTCGATTTCTGGTACTGAAAAAAAAAACAGTTAAACAGTGCCTTAGGTTTCCTCCTGCTTCACCACTAATCTCACCACCATCTTCCTCTCCCTCTCCCTCTCCCTCCCTCCCTCCCTCTCTCTCTCTCTCTGTCTCTCTCTCTCTCTCTCTCTCTCTCTCTCTCTCTCTCTCTCTC